AAGCAAAAAAAAAAAAAAAAAAAAAAAAAACAAGCAGGATGGAGAGATGGCTCAGAGGTTAAGAGTACTGGCTGCTTCTTCCAGATGTCCTGAGTTCAATTCCTAGGAATCACATGGCGGCTCACAACCATCTATAATGAGATCTGGTGTTCTCTTCTGGCATTCAGGCATACACGCAGGCAGAGCACTATATTCATAATAAATAAATCTTATTTTAAAAACGACCACCAGCTTTTTCATAGTTTTGTAATGAAAATTTCTTTTGACTGGCTTTGGTTCTTCTGAAAGCACCTTTTTAAAAAAGTTTACAATGTATACAACATTTTGCTTCCATATATATCTGCACACCGGAAGAGGGCACCAGATCTCATAACGGATGGTTGTGAACCACCATGTGGTTGCTGGGAATTGAACTCAAGACCTCTGGAAGAGCAGTCGGTGCTCTTAACCGCTGAGCTATCTCTCCAGCCCCATGTGTTTCTTTTTTATAGCAGCAACTAAACAGAGTGAGCAAAGCAACTTGGAAATGGAAGTGTTATATTGGTTTTGTAGTTACAGAGACTTGGAGCCTGTGATGGTAGAGTAAAGGCAGGGTGACTGAAACAAATATAAGCTCGTATGATATTCTACCATCAGGAAGCAGGAAGAATATGCTATGAATACTAGTGTTTTCCCAAATCTCAAACTTGTCTAGAGGGACATATATTCACCAGAATACCATACCTCTATTAATCCTCACCATGTCCATCAAGGAATCAAGTTTCAAAAAGCCATTTGACCATTCTCAAGTGGAACACTACAATTGTTTTCAAAGCTACTATCCTAGACAAACTGAAAACCAAAGAATAAACTGTTGCAGAGGTTTTTTTTCCAGCCTGGTCACACAACTGTTTAGCCCCCTCCCACCCCCAAAAAAAGCACACAAAGATTTTTATTAAATTACAAAATGTTGCCCATGGCTAGGTCTTCTTACTGGCTATATTAGTTATTAACCCACAAATTCTAATCTATGTATTTCCACATGGCCTTATATTACCAGAGAATGCCTGGTGCATCCTGTCATGCCCATCTCTACCTGGCGTCCCTTCCTTGACACCTCTCTGCCTCTCTTCCCAGCATTCTCCTTGTGTACTAGCTACACCAATCTTCAGGACACTATGAGACAATCAGTGTTTTATTCATCAACCAATAAGAAAAAATGTATACAGGACATGCCCCATCAATAAATTAAACCAGTGAAACAAACAAAAAAATAAATAAATAAATCAGGAGTTATTCCACATTTGGAATGATTTTCTTTCTTCATACTAAAATATTGGGTCTAACAATATTTCTTTCCACATTAAAATATTGTATTTGTAGCCGGGCGTTGGTGGCGCATGCCTTTAATTCCAGCACTTGGGAGGCAGAGGCAGGTGGATCTCTGTGAGTTTCAGGCCAGCCTGGTCTCCTGAGAGAATGCCAGGATAGGCTCCAAAGTTACACAGAGTAACCCTGTCTCGAAAAACCAAAAAAAAAAAAAAAAAAAAATATTGTATTTGTTAGTTAAGTGTCCACTTTCACAAACATTATTATTATTTACTAATTTGTATTGCTGTGCCTGCATTCATTTTAAAGTGTGTATGTGACTGTCAGAAGACCTCTTTCAGCTATTGGTTTTTTGTTGGCACAAAGTATGATCCAGGAAGGTAACTGAGATAATCATGGTTTCTGGCAATAAACCATTACTAGCATTTCACTGTCCAATCACACTCATCTTTCATTTCTAACAATAGAAGCAATTTGACCAATGCAGTGTCACACAGTTAATGGTGGTGCAAGTTCTACACACCACTTTTCACTGTGAGATCATTATCCATGGATGGGGGACACACATCAACACTACTGAAAATGACAATCACATTAAACTTCATTTATTCTAAACAACCACATTTATTCCAAACATAAAGGTTTTCACCAGTGAAATAAATTTTTTAGTATAAGAGGAACTACCTCTGCTAAAGTATTTTCCGAACGGATACCAATGAAAGGCCCATCTATAGGATGGATTCTTGAGAACATCTTGGCAACAGGAACTGGTGAAGGCTTTGGCACAATACTTAGGTGCATACTTACATTAAACTCCTTTCCAATGTAAATGCTTTCATGGGGGTCACAGAAACATGAAGTGGCCAAGGCTTTTCCACAATGCTAACATTGAAACAGTTGCTCATGAGTGTGAGGTCTTTCATCCTCGATAAAATCACAAGAACAAAGAAATAGTTTCCCAAATACAAAGAAAGGATTTCTCTCCAGTGTGAATATTTTTACTCCTCTTGTGCCAACTGTTTTTCCACAATGCTACCAAGCATTATGCTACTGACTAGAGTGAAGCACTTCGTGTCCACTATTACCAGAGTGACTGAAAGCTGTTCTACAATGCTTAAAGGCATAAGGCTTTTCTCCAGTGTGACACTTCCATGTCTGTGATGACTACTGGAGTCATGAAGGTGTTTCCTAAATGCTTACATGAATAATGTCTGTCTTTTGAATGAATTTTTTCACAGTTAAAGTTATGAAGTTAAAGATCACTAGACTGAATGAAGAATTTCCCACATGCTTTACACAAAATTTGTTTCTTTCCAGTGATTTCTTCCATTCAAGTTAGGATGTAAAAGGGGTAAAGGTTTTCACATATTTACACACATAATACTTCTTCTATCTAGTGTGATTCCTTTCATGTCTCTTACGACTCCCAGACTGGCCGAAGGCTTTTCCACAATTTTTATATGCATAAGGCTTCTCTCCACTGTGAATGCTTTCATGAACTTTCAGACCACTGGAGGTAGTAAATGCTTTTCCACAATACGTACAAGCATATGGCTTCTCTCCACTGTGAATCCTTTCATGTCTCTTAAGATTACTGGAGGAGGTAAATGCTTTTCCACAATGCCTACAAGCATATGGCTTCTCTCCAGTGTGTTTTCTTTCATGTTTCTTATGACTACTAGAGTCAACGAAGGATTTTCCACAATGCTTACATGCATAAGGCTTCTCTCCAGTGTGCTTTCTTTCATGATACTTGTAACTACTAAGGTCAGTGAAGGCTTTTCCACAATGCTTACACACATAAGGTTTCCTTCCACTATGAATCCTTTCATGAACATTCAGATTACTGGAGGTAGTAAAAGCTTTTCCACAATGCCTACAAGCATAAGGCTTATCTCCACTGTGAATATTTTCATGTATGTTCAGATGACTGGAGCGGTTAAAAGCTTTTCCACAAAGCCTACAAACATAAGGCTTCTCTCCAGTATGAATTCTTTCATGTCTGTTCAGATGACTGGACGTTGTAAAGGATTTTTGACAATTCTTACAAGTATAAGGCTTCTCTCCAGTGTGACTCCTTAGATGTTTCTTCAGATGACTGGAGCATGTAAAGGTTTTTTCACAATTCTTACAAACATAAGGATTCTTTCTTGTATGAGTTACTTTATGATTCTCAAAACATTTTGCATATTTAAATGTTTTGCTGCATTGCCTACAATTGTACCTTTTCTGTCCAATATGACTACTTTCATGGTTGTAAAGATCAGTAGAATCATTGAAAGATTCTTCACAGAGCTTACATACAAATCGTTCCACTTCTTTATGGATTCCTTCATCGTTGGGAACATATGCATATCCTGTTACGGCATTTTCATTGAGTGTAACTCCAGTGTGAGCTCTCTCCTCCTGAGGCTGATCCAAACTGAGACTCCCACAAGCTTCCTTATATTCTTGACTTTCACAGGCTTTCTCCTGGGGAGAAGTTTCAATTACCTGAAGTGACTCAGAATGATGGATATCTCTCCAATGTTCCTGATGTACATAAGCTTGTGCCATGGCTTTCTTCCATACAGATGGTATCCCTGTAGTTTGCTCTCTGCGATACCCATGTGAGGATGAATGACCAACGGTGTTTCTTACAGGCAATGGGCTTTCACATACTCTTTCTCCAGGATGCATGTCTTTACTGATGATATTCTCTGTAATATGTTCCTGGCTTTTTATCACACTCATGGTCACATGAATATTC